ACCCATATAGGCATGTTCTCTCAAATTGGCGTGCAAGCTCACACGTGAGGTCATCCAACGCCACCAACAAAGATGTTCTGAAGAGATGACGAAACACTACTCCTCGCCTGATTTTGAAACGATAAACGGGCTTATATATTACAACAAGAGTGACACCGTCGTCCCAGTGATCCCATCCTCTCTTGTACCTGAAGTCCTCGCCACATTCCATGACGCGGTGTATAGTGGTCACTTGGGCGTGGACAAAACCATGGATCGGGTGAAAAAGAGTGCATTTTTCCGAAACATGCGTCCTCAAAGTGTGGAATACATCGCCACCTGTGACATCTGTTAGCGTGTGAAATTTGACAACAAGAAACCACCTGGTTTGATGCAGTCGTCACCAGTAGAGAAACCGTGGGCGACGCTCTACATGGATTTGATGGGTCCATACATAAAATCTTCTCCTGGTGGATTCACTCATCTTCTCGTCATAATAGATGGGTTTAGTAAGTGGGTAGAATTGTTTCCTTTGAGAAGCACTTCTGCCGCGGTAATAGGTAAAATTTTGGAAGAACAGATATTTTGTCGATTTGGTATGCCAGAGACGATTGTAAGTGATAATGGTACAAACTTTACTTCAAATATTTTAAAATTTTTATGTAACCAATGGAAAGTTACTCAAAAGTTCACAAGTATTTATCACCCTCAATCGAATCTGACTGAAAGAGCCAATCGCACGGTAAAAACGATGATTAGAGCGTATCTTGATGACCAAGCTCATAATAAGTGGTCTAAGCAAATTCCATTCTTACAATTAGCAGTTAATACCTCAATTCAAGAGTCCACAGGTTTTACTCTTGCCTCTATTCTTTTAAATCATGATCCAAAATTGCCATTTGATATAAATGTCGGCCTCACTGACTCTGAGTTAAAAGTTTTAAAGAAATCAATTCCTAAAACATTTCAAGATATAATATTTGATAGGCATAAACAGTATGTAAAAATTCTTTCTCTTGTTACTCAGAACCTGACCAAAGCCAAGGAAAAACAAAAGAAATACTATGACCAGAGACACCGAGATGACCAATTCCAAGTGGGTGATCATGTAGTCATCCGTGATACCACTCTCTCAGACAAGGACAAAGGGATTACGGCAAGCCTTTGCCCTCTCTATCGTCCAGGAGTGGGAGTCATCTCCAAAATTGTCGGCGATTTGACATACGAAGTCACTTTCCCTGACGGCACAGTAAAAACTCCACTACACATCCAGTTTTTACGCCGATATCAGCAACGTCAACCTCAATCAACGCCACAATTGTCCCAATCATCACAAATACCACAAATAACTCAAGACACGTCGACTCCTGATAAACATGTTTTACTCTCCAATGTCGACGCATCATCATCTCGTCCAAATCAATCTAATAATGATAATCATGATACAAATATTAATGATGATGATGTAATTTGTGATGATATTGAGGATGTAAATATTACAAATGATAATTCTAAGGGTACAAATACTCGTAATAATAGTCGTAATAGTCGTAGAAATATTCCTCCTAAGTTAAGTCCAATTACTATAGATGAGTAACATCAGCATGGTGATCAAGTTTCAATTTCCTATAGAGAAATGCCAGTTCTCAGTCAAATTTCAAATTTTCCAAATGATTCTGTAGTAAACACTAAAAGTAGTTCACATTTTCGTCCACCACCTCCAAGGCGTAGTAGTAGACTACACAAAAGATCGACAAAGTAGGCCTCATTGGTGAGGAGTGTTATTCTTTGGGTGTTTGATTGTGAATTTCTTCTCAACGAACGAAATTCGGTGGCGTCTTGGGGGGTGATGAGCCCCTCAAGGTCAAAACTAATCTAGTTCTATAGTGGTATTAACTAGTGGCCACGCAATAGGGTGCGTCTTAGCGAAATGATGAATTAGCTAAGGTCAAATCCATATAAATTGCATATAATGGACTTAGATTTCACATCGTGCAGTCCTCTGAGTCTCTCCAATCTTCGAAATGTCGCAAAAATCTTGGTTGGTAGGTTGGATGGAATTGTATGAACGTATTTACGCTGTTATGAGTAATATAATTTAACTTTCCCATATGAGTAACTTGATTATCATGGTGTGATTTTGACTCATGAATTTCGAAAAATAGTTCTTTCATAATTGGTTCTGAAACTTTTTCATAGTTTAAGTCAATAATATATAATATTCTCTACCATTTCTCTTAATTTCAACACAATTCATCATCAGGATTTGTTATACCACGTCAAACACGCTGTACATACATATATGTATAGGACTTGATGTTATCAAAAATTGTTTCTCAATATTTGATTGATTACAGTAGTTCAAATTTACACACATGGTTGATAATAGTTTATAGTACTAGGAATAAAATTAAAATTGATGGTGGCTACCTTAGTTTTATGAATAATAATTATAATGTTTCGAGTTTTGTCTGAATGCAGTATACGTAAGTATGTATGTAAGTATGCCACTGAACTATAAAAAATTGTTTCTCGGTAATTACTTCGTAGAAGTGATTCAAATTTTTAGGTTATATAGATATTAGAATTAGACATTAGGATAAAAATTAAAAACTTTGTTTTCCCGAGTGGAAATTGAGTAAATTTTGAAATTCATAATTTTCAATGTTAAAAATGTCGAAATTTCGGAAAAATTTTGTTCAGAAACTTGGAGTTGGAAAATTTTATATGATAGTTAGTTCCTTGTTATACAATATGGCTAGATAAAAAAGTTGTATTCCCGAGTAGTTTTCGGGATAAAAAATATAATTAAGAATTTCTTGTATAGTTAATAGTTATGGGAAATACGATTCAGTCATCAGGACGTCATTGTATTTTGTTTCCATCATGGATATTACACATAGGCTATAAATAAGTTTAGTAATCCATTAAGTCATAAATTTTAGATATAAATTAAGTAGATTTATCGTAATTTTAAGGTCAATTTAATAATCCGCCCCACATCTCTCTACGTTACGTCGCGGTGGAGACGCTCCATTGCTATGTAACGTTCGGGGAGGGGAGTGCAACCTTTGTAATGCTGTTGCACAAGCAACATTTGCATTCCAAAGGTCAAGGGATTCAAACTACATAGATTTAGTTTGCATGAAGGGTAGTATGGATTTTCATACATCACTCCGTAATGAGAGTGAGAGTAAAAATCCATAACTTTGTATTCAATTTCCATATCTACCAATTATGTTAGTAAAGCAGATTTTTCACATTGTTTATACTTCATAATGTGGTCAACAATAATTGTGAAGTAATTAATCAATTTGATCAAAGGGTAAATGTGGAAATTGAAAACAATGAGAAACATATTTAGTATAAGTAGTGACTCGCCACTCATGGTTAACCAAACCGTAATCTTGAATGCACTCGAGTGCAGGCAGAGCACACTACATTATAAGCATAGGATAATAGATATATACGGTAAGCAGAGAGAAGAACGAGGAGTGTAGTTTTAGACACGGAAACAGCAGGTTTAACTTTTCCAACCATCAAGGTTATTAAGTTTTAAGATCATTAGTTTAAAGTAGAATAAGTTCCAAATTTAAGTAGTTTTAGGAAATATAAATATAACATTAGCTCTCCCACATATTTATTAATATAAGCATTTTGGTAAATCAATATTTTTCTGTCGGTATTGATATAAATAAACATATTTATAATATTCCTTTAAAAAGTGAACTTCTTCTCCAAATTTATTGCATTAAAATCACAAAATAAGGGACACCCACGAAAGTGGGTGTGGATCGGGACACGCAGACCCCATAGTAGAACAGGGGGCGTTACAATACAGAGCATACGCAAAGTCGAGTTCTATGTAATAGAAATGTGTCAGAACTTATGACTCATAAGTAGTGGTCGTCGTTTCGTTTTGTTATTAGCTTAAAGTCATACATACATGAAATTCAATCCACGGATATTTTATATCACCAACATATATGTAGATTAGTGGCTAACTAACTTAATTACACTCTTGGGAAACTGGCATTAAATCATTACTGTCCAGAGTACATATGTTTATGACGTTACCGACATGATATCATAACTATCGGTAATAATAATTGATAATAATAACGTGAAATGTCATTTAGTAAGGTTAATCGTAATCGTACCACTAACCATAGTAATTGAAACAATGGAGGTCTCCCAACTTATTTTTTTTCACTATCTAAATTTCTGATCGATTTACATTATGTAGTTTGGTCCAAATCTGTGAGCATAAGTTGGGAGACCTCCATTCTAAAAAACAAACTATTACCAGTCTGGTAGGAAATTACTACCAAATCAATGGAGTACATATGTACATACATACATATATGTAAATATGTATACATATATATGTATACATAAGTAAGTACATATGTACTTACAGACGTGACTCTACCGGATGTTTGACAGTGTTTACTGCAAAGAAGTGAATCTGAGACTCTTCTTGTCCATAAATTTTCTTGAGAACGGGTCAAGTTACTTCTTTTACTACATGTATGAATTTGAATCCTTTTTATGACCTTTTCAATTTCCTTTTATTAAGTAAGTAAATACAGTAGTTTCGGCTACTTTATGCGAAGACTTTGTCCCGTTGTCCGTACGTCCGTCAACAGGATAACGGGCGACGTAATCGAGATCGATTTGAAGCTTCTTACATATGACCCCTGGGGAAAATCCTATCAACTTTCTGGGCCAATCGAACCACCCCGTTGAGGTCATGCGGTGTGGTCGGGGCAAAATGAGATTTCCATTCAAAATGAATCTATACATGAAATAAATTGAAATGCTGTCTTGGGCGTGGTTGGAGTGAAATGAGACTGAAGCTACTTCGGTATGTGCGTTTGTCATGGTGTAAGTATTCTAATTGAAAGAAGCCATGACGATGACTCATGAAGTAACTTAACTGCTTATAAATATATCCACAAGAAAGTTAAAGTTATTGTCTTATCTAAATCATGTTTCATAAATCTCAAAACGTTTTCAGTCCGTTAGTCATGATCATCATAGCTGAGGCTTGGGTTGAGCCCTGAATTGTACTTTTCCTCGATAGTAAAGTAGACACGAACATGTCCAGTAAAACAACTTAAAGTGTAGATTTTCTCATATAAATATCAGCGGACGTATAAAACGCAGAATTTTGTAACAACGATCAGAAACGCTCTTTGCAAGGGAATTGTAAATTACATACTTCTCCTGCCTGGCCAAATAATGGATTCAAAACTGGTAAATTTCATTATAAAAATACTACAAATAAAGCTTCAAATCTGATAACGGAAAATTGTAATTCCTTTCAGAAACAAGTGGGATGGTTGACGTACTGGATTTGTTCCATAGTATGTGTCAATCCGTTTAAGGTGTGTTGGGCCGAGTCGAAAAATGGCATGACTGGTTCTTGTGTCTGGGAAACTTTTCTAAAATATCCAACCTTCAGCGAGTGGCCAATGTTCGCATTAATCTGTTACCTATCCACGATCTTTATCATCCTCTTGGTTAACAATCACAATCCAAGATGCAAGGTGGTAAGGAGAAAATCATTGAGGAATCTCTATAAATTATGTCACGCAAAAATGCCGATTTCTTAGACCCTCCCTCCCCCAGTTATGACGCGTTACACCTCTTTTTCGCGTGTGCACATGTGAAATGTCACGTGGCCTGTCACGCAAAACTTTTATCCACCCACCCCCTCCGTCGTGACATAATTTATTTATGGACATCTGCTTATTGACACTGATAAATAACAAAAATGGAGCATCGAAATTCTAAATATATGGAATTTACAGTAATTAAAGTAACAAAATGGTTTGTTTGATTCAGTTCGCTAACTCCACGTGCGGGAGGACGGTTCTCACGATTTTGCTGATTTTGTTTAACTTCTTTTGGATATTCCTCGCAGTTTTCATGTTCCTGTCCCCAGTACCAAATTACGGAGTCTCAACCCCAGATTCGGCTTCCCTCAGCATTATAATCACCTGCCTAATTTCTAACTGCGTCAAGCTCACAACGATTTTTGGGCTAAGCCGTACTCCAGCTCCTGGTTCAAATGCTCAAAGTAATTCGGTTACAATTGCTACTTCCGTTTAGAAAGGTTGGCAAAAAGTGTGAGGATATTTTTTGGAATTCATTAATGTGGGAGTGAAATTTTTTTTCGTCGTTTATATATTTTATTGCTTTACATATGTTAAATAAATATAGAAGGAGATGAGATTAGATTGGTTTTATGACTTTATAAAAAAATAATGCCGCACATCCTAGGAGATTGAAACTACATATTTGCATGTGCCTAGATTATTATCAGCAATGTATTTATTTATTAAAAATTATAATATAGAATAGTAGCCCAAGTTTTACTTATTCCACGTTGCGGGAAAGAGGCGTGACTTCAACCCCACATTCGAACTTAATCTCCAAACCAGACTAGGCATTCTCATAATCCAAAGTGTTACTCGTTAATAAAAATTGATAAAAATACGACAATAAATGCAGAACTTTGTTTTAAGCTGTAGAATTTTTTTTACAAATATTTTAGAAATTGATAAATATATATGAAGCGAATTACTTTCTCCAATATGTTTACCTGGTGAACGTGTGTATCTCTCTAATCCTAAGTACATATGTATGTGCATATGTATGTAAATATATACGCACTAATTTGTGATCACTAAATATGTATGCAATGCAAATGGTATATATAAGCGTGAAATAAAATCGCGTAGGTCGCCACGTCCGGCACACATTTTTTCCAACCGTAAAGCTTAATTAACAATAGAATCGATCCGATCAACATCCTTTCGATCACCTCAATTTCTCACCCACCTCCCAATCATAAATACGTACATAAATCATCCAGCATCATTGTCACCCTTGACCATAACAATGCAACCAGGAAGAAAAAAATCAGTCCAAATAGGCCATCCTAATGTGTAAAAATACTTAATTATTCCTTCAAAAGTTCATTTTGGTAATCAACCCCTCATCCGTGAACATGGCGAAATATGCCATTTTTGCGATTCTACTCGCACTTGGAGTTTACTGGACGAATGGATCATCAATTGCGACCAAGTCTATTTCCACAGTGGAGGGAGCTAATCTTGGAAAGGAAACCCCGTCATTAGTAAGCTAACTAATTAATTAATTTCTTATCTTTTTACTTTTTAGATGATCTTTTACAATTTTTGTATTTTTTAGGTCAAGAAAAAGAGGCAAAATTTTAACGACTTTGTCAAACCGATAGGATCCAACAAACGCAAACGGAACCATGAAACCTCCGCAGAAATTAGCGATGATGTTGGACAAGTTAATCACGTCCCTCTTGTAGATGCAGATGAACCGAAAATGCACCATGCGGATGAACCGAAAAAGCACCATGAACATAAAACAGGCAATAAGAAACCACGTAAAAATAAATACAAGAAGAAGAGAGGATCAAAACATGGTCACAGAAGGAAGCATAAACCCTTCGGAAAGAATGCACACAAACACAAATCCTGCGCCAATAATCCTAAATGCTAGGCATAAATTTAGTTTTATTCTATATCAGTTGTACATAAGTGTGCAGAGATAAATGGTTAATTGTTTAAAACAAAGTGGACTACCTTTATCGAATCATGCATGTATTAATAATCGTCCCCTGTGAAATTGCATAATGTTTCTGCATAACACCATTATTGTCTAATGCCATTGAATACCTATTTACAAAATATGTCAACAGCGAGTATATACAATGCTACATAAGAGGGGAGCTTCACCACCTGCAAATCTCAGATCCTGATGTCCTTTGGACATGTGGTAGGGTCCTACGAGTGTATTAAAAAGCCTGAAGTGGTTTGATTCCATGGCCCAATTTGCGCCCGCCACACCCACTCTGTGACGCCAAAAACACGAATAAAGCAGCCTTGTTTTCATGTGCTTTAAATGCCACGAAAAATTCAACTTGCTCTGATTTTGATAAAATTTGCATTTTTCTGATCCCAGATACTTATGTGATCATATCCAATAGATATCTCAACTTTTTTGAAATTTTGGATTTTTTAGAATAATTCATCAGCAGTGGAATGGCTAAAAATTTAGAAAATTAAAAAAAAAGTTGGGATTACTACTGGATATTATCACACAAGTATCGGGATCACAAAAATGCAAATTTTATCAAAATCAGAGTAAAATTGGGGTTTTGAAGTTGCTAATTTTTGTAATTTTCATCCCTTTGAGTGGGTGTGCCGGGCGTAACTGTGGCCATGGAGTAAAAATACTTCAGGGTTTTAGGCCTTTTAAGATGGCCTTATAGATTTGTCAGGATGTCTGTCCGTCCGTCTGTCTGTACGCACGATAACTCTCTTTAAAGAAATTCTATCGACTTGAAATTTTGTACACTTGATCTTCGGGTCAAAAGTAAGGATGAGTTCGAAGATGGGCATGATCGGTCAAGTGGTTGGCCGGTGGGGGTCATTTCCACCCAAATGTGCTGTCATTAACTACCAAGATGGCATTAATGCCATCTTAAAAGGCCCCGCAAAGTTGCTTGGAGTAGGTTTTTATATATGTAGATATCGTAATGCGAATCTTAAGCGTACAATGCATAAAATCGCGTAGGTCGCCACATCCGGCACACGTTCTTTCTACCCGTGAAAAACAATCAACCATTGTATCGACCGAATCAACATGTTAACGATAACCTAAATTTCTCACCTCCCATTCATAAACTCATACACAAATCATCCGGCATCATTGTCACCCTTGACCACAACAACGAAACCAGGAAGAAAAAAAATCAGTCCAGATGAACAATCCTAACGTGTACAACTTCACTTAATTAAATACTCGTTCAGTTTGGTAATCCACACTTTATCCGGGAACATGGCGAAATACGCCATTTTTGCGATTCTCCTCGCAATTGGAGTTTACTGGACGAATGGGTCATCAATTGCGGCCAAGTCTATTTCCACAGCGGTTGGAGATAATCTTGGAAAGGAGACCCTGTCATTGGTAAGATAAGCAATTAGTTAATTGCTTATCTTTTACTTAGATACTTTTTAGATGATCTTTTTACAATTTTTGTATTTTTTAGGTTAAGAAAAAGAGGCAAAATTTTAACGAATTTGCCACACCGATAGGATCCAACAAACGAAAACGGAACCATGAAACCTCCGCAGAAATTAGCGATGATGTTGGACCAGTGAATCACGTCCCTCTTGTAGATGCGGATGAACCGAAAAGGCACCATGAACATAAGGCCGGGGCCAAGAGACCACGGAAAAATAAATACAAGAGGAAGAAAGGACCAAAAAATAGCCACAGAAAGAAGCACAAACCCATCGGAAAACATGCACAAAAATCTTGCGCATCTAAAAAATGTTGGGCATAAATATAGTTTTATTATGTATTATTTAACGTAAATATGTAGGGATAATTGGTCAATTTGTTACAATACTTTACAGTTTCAACTTGATTATATTCACATAATAAGTAAATGCATACATACATACATATTTAACTATAATAATATTCTTACGCAGAACCAAAAGTCCATACATTTGCACATCATATATATGTGCATAAATATTTTGTGGGTTTGATTTAGCATGGAAGCGTTAATGCTCTGATAGAGAATTATTAGGTACATATGTACATTCACCATAAATATAGTCCTATCTGCATCAGACTTCGCATTACAATATATACCGGCTGAAGAATCAACAAAGCAATCAATCAACAAATTCGTGGTAATGGTTGTATAATATACATAAACTTTTGTACCCAAGTTTGGTTTGGAGGATAACTAACAATGCGATGGTGTGAAGTGTAACCCTCCGATTTGGTTGAAATTTTGAAATTATGTGGTCCATGTCAATACAAACAACGTTTCTTCAGGCAGTTTGTGCGATGGTCAGAATTTGTCAAAATATTTTAGGTTAAAGTTGAAAAATGTGACATTTTTAGCACGGGAAGAGGATGGAAGTTGAGTGTGCATCCTCCGTCTGGTAAAAATCGCCCGTTTTTCAACTTTGACCTCAAATGGACCTATCGACACGGAAATAACGGGCATTAGTAACGGTGAGGTAATGAAAAATTAACCACTCAGAAACAAACTAGTACCAATTCGGTAGGAATTTATTACTAAATCAATAACAGCGCGTTATATACATAAACATGTATGGATGTACATATGTATATGTGGTTTGGCCAGATTTTTAACAGTGCAGATAAGCATCAGTGTGGAATCATAAAGTCAATAATCTCTTTATCGCCATATATGTAGATAACCTCCAGCAGAGGAAATTCATCCACTCAACTTTCTGTTGAGTGGTCATATTTTCCTCAAATTGCTGAGCCAGGATGTGTGTGATTCGCAAAAGTGCTTAGCCTTCTGACGAGAGTTCGTTTAGGTTCTCCCTTATTGCGAATAATCTTTAAATTTTGCAATACAATATAAAAAATTAATGTCAAACTATCAACCACAAATCAAAAAGCGACGAAAACGGCCCCTCGGCTATTTTACCCCGGAACATGAAAAGCGCAGAAGGATGGACGCGAAGAGGAGAAAGACCCTTGCGACTATGCCGCAAACCCCGAGCCAGATTCGCCCCGACTCTGATCGCTGTATCAGTCCGACATCCATCCACGCCATTCTGGACGAAGAAAGCGGCGAAGACGTCAAACGCGACGTGGTCCTGCCAAGCCGGCCCACCAATACTAATACCGGATTGGGAGTAAAACGAGAAACTTGTAATAATAATCCCCCTGTTGCGAAAAGACCTCGACCTAGTTGTGGTGAGAGGGAGGGATTTTTATTTACATATTAATTTAATTATAATGCGAAAACGGTTACTTTATTTTTTAGAACCATTATTGGACGAGGACAACACTTGTGTAATATCGTGCGGAAATATGGATGATACGAATTTCTCCGTAACTATGTGTGGTCACATTGTGCATACGAATTGCTGGGACAAGATTAATAGTCAGGACCCAGTTAACAAGATGTAAGCAAATTAGCTAATTTAATTCAATCAAGCCACGCAAAATTTTGGGTTATACGTATAAATAAATCTGTTCATGCATACATATATACACAGGTGCCCTTACTGCAATATGCCTGCTGGAGACCTGCGTAGAATATATATACAGTCTTCCAATGCTAATAAGGAGAAAACGTATCACGATGAAATTGCGAGACTTAAAAAGAAATTAAAGAAATGTGAATATAATGTCATCAAACCGTTTAATGAGGCTGCGACTTGTTACAATTGCGAGTCCTAGAGTCACTTGACAAGCAAGTGCAAAAGAAATTGCATATTTAAGTAAGTTACTTAATCATATTTGTCAGGTGTATATGCATGCGAACTTATAACGCTAGGTTCATAAATTAGGCAAAATATGTACTTACAATGTCCGTGTTTGCTTGTAGAGTGTAAATTTAAGCGTGCAATGCATAAAATCGCATAGGTCGCCAGGTCCAGCACATATTCTTTCTACCCGTGAAACACAATCAACAATAGAGTCGAACCAATCAACATCCTTTCGATCACCTCAATTTCTCACCTCCCATTCATAAATACGTACATCCAGCATTATTGTCGCCTTGACCATAACAATGCAACCAGGAAGAAAAAAAATCAGTCCAAATGAACCACCCTACTGCGTAAAGCTACTTAATTATTCATTCAACAGTTCAGTTATCCGTGAGCATGGCGAAATACGCCATTTTTGCGGTCTTACTCGTATTTTGTGCATACGGGACGAATGGATCATCCATTTCGGCCAAGTCTATTTCCACAGTGGTGGGAGATAATCTAGGAAGGGAAACACCCTCCTTGGTACACAACCGAAGAAAGTAACTAGTGAATTTCATGTCTTCTACTAACTTTTTAAATGATTTTTACCATTTTCGTATTTTTTTAGGTAAAAAAAAAGCGACAAAATTTTAACGACTTTGCCACACCGATAGGATCCAACCAGGGTGCATAAACATTTTTGTTGTCCGTGGTTTCTCCTAAGGGGGTGGTGCAAGGATGAATATTTTTTTCAAAAAAATCGAAAAATCAAAAGTTGGGGAATTGCATGCAATTTTGCCATGAATTTGGTTGTCAACCACTTTTCAAAAATGAAATAAATACATTTCATCCTGGCCTCCATCTCCGAAAATGAAGAATAAGCTCGGAGATTGTTAAGAGCGGTCAAGTGGTTGACCAGTAAGGGTCATATAGGTCGGATAAGGTCGTTGGTACAGAATATTAGAATTTGTAAAATTTGGCTAACAACCAAATGCATGGCAAAATTGCATGCAATTCCCCAACTTTTGATTTTTCGATTTTTTTGAAAAAAATATTCATCCTTGCACCACCCCTTTAGGAGAAACCACGGACAACAAAAATGTTTATGCACCCTGGGATCCAACAAACAAAAACGGGACCATGACACCCCCGCGGAAATTAGCGATGATGTAGGACAAGAGAATCATGTCCTTCCTGAAGATGCGGATGAACCGAAAAGGCACCATGAACATAAAGCAGGCAACAAGAAACCACGGAAAAATAAATACAAGAAGAATAGAGGGCCAAAACATGGTCACATGAGGAAGCACAAATTCAACGGAAAGCATGCAACAAAATCTTGTAAAATCACTGGGAGATGCTGAAAGCGAGCACCTAGGGAGAAAAATACTTTATTCTGTATTGCTTAACGTTAATATTCAGTGATAATTGGTCAATTTTGCAATAAGGTGAAGTATATTTATCGAATCATGTACAAATATGTATCAACAATACTTTGCGGTTCCAACTTGACTGTATTTGTAATAAATAAATAAATGCATACATATTTAATCAATGATATTTTTACGTGAAACCAAAATCCGCACATTTGCATATTATATTTGCATAAATATTGTATGAATTTGATAAGACTGACTGCACCAAAAATGTTGCTGTCAAGAGTTAATGCCCTAACTGAGGATTATACATGGCTCATAACGGATGTGATAAAAATAGCCTTATCTACATCAGACTTGTTCTTAATTTATGTATGTATGTATACATACATAAAAAGTATTTGTGCTGGTACAAATTCTTTGACATCTCACATTGCAGTACAAACTGAAGAATGAGCATATAAATCAATCAATAAGTCAACAAATTCGTGGTAATGGACGATAACAAAATACATACATAGATGACGTAAACATCGGCAAATTTATCGAACGGACTTCGCACAATACAAAGTATTCATGCATAATTTTGACGAATCTGGAAGAACATTACATATTTGCACGAAACATTCGTACAGATACACCTTTTGAAAACTGGTATTAAATTATTCCTAACTGGACTACATGTATGACTCTACCGGCACGGTAATAATGGGCATTACCATTTAATAATGTTGTGACAATTAAAACTTTACCACTCAGAACAAACTAGTATCAATCCGGTAGGAAATTACTACCAAATGAATAAAATTACGGAGTACATGTATGTATATATGTATGACTTAATCAGATTTTTAACTGTGCAGATATCAGCGTGGAGTCAATAATCTCCTTATCTCCGGCGCCATGTAACCTCCTCCAACATAGCAAATTCATTCCCTCAGCTCTTTGTTATACTAGAGGTTGAGTTGTCACGTTTTCCTCAAATTTCTCACCGAGAAGTGTTAATCTCCCAGAAGTACTTAGCCTTCTGACGAGAATACGTGTTTATAGTTTTCCCTTAGTGTTTTCCCTTAGTTAATAATTGTTTAATTGTACATTATAAAAATTAATGTCAAGCGATCAACCCGTAATCAAAAAGCGACGAAAAAAGGTGCGCGGCTACGACAACCCCGAACAGGAAAAGCGACGAAGGATGGACGCGAAGAGGAAAAAGAATGTCGCTACCGCGCCCCAAAGCCAGATTCGTCTTGAATCTGGTCGCAGTATCAGCCCGGCATCCATCCCAGGCATTTTGGATAGCATTCTCGATGAAGAATATGTCGAAGACGTGGGAGTGGCCCTCCCAAATCGGTCCACCATTTGTGCTGCTAGTACTACTATCAAATCTGGGGTGACACCAGAAACGTCCAAGGTTTCTCATAATATACCCCCCGCTGCGAAAAGATCTCGCACTATTTGTGGTGAGTGGAAGGGATGCGTAATTAAGTGGTTATTAATTTAATTATAGATAATACATATGTATTGAATACTACGAAAATGGCTATTTCTTAGAACCACTATTGGACGAGGGTAACATGTGCATAATATCCTGCGGACATACGGATGATACAAACTTCTCGGTGACTAACTGTGGTCACATTGTGCATACAAATTGTTGGAACAGGATTAATAGTCCGGACTCAGCTAACAAAAAGTGCATACATACATTTATCAACATTCACTTAAATTCGAGCTACATACACATGCAAAATTTATTTTTATTAACATTATTTAGGTGCCCGTATTGCAAACTATCTCCTGTAAGTGTGAAAAGAATATACAGTGTTCCAATTGCGGATAAGGAGAAAGCGTGTCAGGCTGAAATTGCGAGGCTGAAAAAGGAATTAAAGGAATGTCAGGATAAGTTCGTCAAACCTTATGACGAGGCTGCAACTTGCTACAATTGCGAGTCGAAGAGTCACTTAACGAGCAAGTGTGAAAGAAAATGTATGCTGAAGTAAGTTACATAGTTTATATATTACGTTTGACTGGTATATATTCATGCAAAAAATATAACGCTAGGTACATTTGGTATGGTACAGTATCTCACTTAATTGTACATATATATTTACAATTTCCACGTATTTTTTATAGAGTGCCAGCCCAAACTCTCTCTGGAGGGAGGACATACGTCCCATGTAGTGTCGAAGGGGATCAAGTAGTTTGTGGACCTCTAGTCGATCTATATGAGCATTATATGCGAGAAAAGTTGTCTAGGGTGGGAATTGCTATCCTCTTTTCGATGACCGTGTTTGGGGATCGATGCTGTGGAAAATGTCTCAGCCTGTTGCACAACACTGTCGCATGTAAGGAAGAGCCGCCTGACCTGGAAGTCAAGAATTTGGCGATCAAGATTAAAAATGCGTATTCATTCATGGAAGAAGGTAACAAGAAACGTGAGGTTCATATGAAAAGCCTTAGGAATTCTTGCACGCCTTAATACATATGTATGTAAATACGCTTGAACATTTAAATAGTTTAATGTTAATGATAATTAAATATGTGTGTAATTATTACTTTTAATTGCTGTATTAGAAATTGAGTAAATTGAATTTGGCAGCATGCTCACAAATAGTATGTACATATACATATATTCAAATATTTACTAAATTGGATTCCTCAGCAAATCTGACTTGCCAGAAAAATGAAGACGACATTATCAAAATTCCATATGCATATGTGCAATTAATGTCATTAAGGTCATCCGGCAGGTAAAATATATGTATCAGTACAAGGAGAGAAGCATGCAAAATAAATATTACAAATTAGAAATATACACATATAAATTATCGTCGTCCAAAATGAAAAATATTGGAGCTTACTTTTTTCCATGCTATTTTGTGTTTCTTACGTTTCGAATATGCAAGACATTGTTCATAGGGGTAAAGTCAAAAGTTGTATGTCATATTTCCCAAGGACAGTGACGATGCATACTTTTATATGCACGCTAAAAAATCCGTACGGTATTTCAGTACGGACGTATCAAAAATTGCCCCCAGAGCTTTCCCCTCTTAATCCAAGTAAAATCCCACTTAATCCAAGCACAATCCTACTTGCACGAAGTGCGATTCTACTTGGATTAAGTGGGGATGGCTCTGGGGGCAATTTTCGATACGTCCGTACTTAAACACCGTACGAATTTTTTAGCGTGTGTACATAATTTAATTTGCAATGCTATTTAGATAAAGGTGGCTTTAAATAATTGTCTCTAATTAACTTTTCTAACATCACAATTCAATGGAATATCAAAATGTAACCACCGCAGCAAAATACAGTATACACCTCAATACCGAATACATACATTGATTAAAACAATAATTAAGTGATGCATACTTAATTATTCAGTATCAGCAAGGTCGCAGAATGTTGGAACGTGCAATAATTCTCGGCGTTGGATCCCTTTACATGACATGATAGTTATGTTCATATATCGACTTATTTATGTACTACATACAGCGCCCGATCTTGGATTTTGGCGCCCTGGGCAAGCATATGCGGCGCCCCTGTCCCTCTAAAAAACTTAAATTCCCACAACTATGTAGCTTGCTAAATAGTTTTTTATGCATTTATACTAATATTAGATAAAGTATGTGCATATTATTCAGCTTATTAATTTTTAAGCATATTCAGAGCTGGACAATTTCGTGCTAAATTTGTTCACATGCGGTCGGGTTAGACAAAATTCATACAATTTTCCTTAACTTTGATGAAATGGAATTATATGTAAAAAATAATAATATAAACTACATTTTATAAAGTGCATCTGTTATGTACGATTGCAAAATTTATTCCGTCGATAAGAACTGTCCAAATGGTAAAGACGTGACTTACTGCGTTTGAGATTAACTTAAAACCTGCAGTGCAGCTTCATATAGCCCGAATGTGTTGAATTTTAAATGATTAATTTTAATTCAATTCCACCGTCCAGTGTTTTTCCACTGGTCGTAAATGTCGTAGATGTCATAATTCTTTCGAAATTTGTTTCATATTCTCTGATTATATCTTTTATTAACTTCAATACAAAATTTCAGCTTTCTTTAGAAATAGAAGATAGAAGCTCTATTTAGAAATTTAGGTGCATAGTACCCCACTAGAGGTGAGTCGGGCCTAACATTTTCAAAGCCCGGCCCGCCCAAGCCCGACTCAAAAACCTTATTCAAAAGCCCGACCCGCCCAAGCCCTATTCAAAGCCCAACTCAAAAGCCCGAGCCCGCCCAAGCCCTATAGGGCTTGACGTTGAGAAAGCCCGCCCAGGCCCGAGCCCATCGGGCTTTGAGCCCGGGCCCATAGGGCTTAATCGGGCTTTTTTGTTATGGCGTGACAAATTATTTATACAATTAAAAATAAAATTTGTAGAGAGTTCAAAATTACGCATGATGAAACACGAATTGATAAATGAAGAAGTTCAAATTATTTAACAAACACATTTTAAAGGGAGTATTCAATAAATTATTTTCACAGGGTACAAAAATAAATAAACCCAAAACTGTTGGTGCACTCTCAGAACTGTGGTAATGAAAATGCAAACTCGTTTATTACCGAGAAGTTGGTAAATACAGACTTTCCCGTTACAGTAATAAAATTGTTTACCAAAATTCATTATAATGCAAAAATTTATTTATTATTGTTCGGTATAATCGGAGAAACCAGAGCGGTAACGTAAAGCTACCAAGTTATAGTAATTTAATACTGCTGTGGGAGAACATGAATAATACTGCCCCGTATTAATCCTTTAAGCTAGCGGGTAATGATCTAAAACTTTCATGCGGTGTGTTTTTATTATTGCACCGGTAAGTTTTTTTTACCGTCTCAATAATAAAGTTAACTCGCACTCACACCGCTAAATACAAAAGTAGCACGAGCAAGACTCTCCCCATAGGAAATGGAAAAATTAATTCGTGTTTCGAATTCTTTTCGAACAAAAAAATTGATTCTTAGCCCAGGGAATTATGAAGAATTTATTTTGAAAGGTAGGTATTAAATTCATTTAATTATTTGAATCATGGTTGTACTTCTTCGTTTTTAAAATGTATAGTGAATTTTTAGTTATTGAGAAATTTAACTTGGCTGATGACGTTGCCATATCTCTGGAGGACGAACAAGGCGCTGAAGTGGACGAGGAAGTTTTTCCAGTTTTGTGGGAGGTAGGAGGGACGCCCAACATTACGTTTAGTGTTCGAGGCGAGGACTCGAACGAAATTAGTTTGATACAGGACGCTGCAACAAACCCCCAAGTCTACTATTGTAATATTTTTATATCATTTGATTTTTTAATGGTTGTAAATAGCTTTAATGCTGGTTATTTAATAATTTATTTGAATAGTGCCGAGTCCTTTGTGTTCTCCAGCGCCTCCTTCGCCAGCATTATCTATGTCAAGCAATGACGTGGACTGTTTTAAACACGTGAGAATACTAAATTTTAACAATAAATAAACAATATTTGTATCAATATTAATTTGCAATTTTGGATTGATTTTAGATACTAGAAGGACACATTGAGCGAACCCCAAAGTTATATGACATCATAACAAAATGTACAGAACAGTCCCTCGTTGACACTTCATCATCAAAAATTCTTGTAAATGAATTTGTTGCTAAACTTGTCGAGCTAAAAGGGTAAGCTCTTAAGCTAAAACTCTATTAATTATGCAATTAAGTTTATTTCAATTCGTTTTTGCAATTTATTTTTGATTTAGGGACTCCCCAGTAACAAAGGATCAGAAGTCACTTGCTAAGGCCATCGTTGAGATTTTGCCATTCTGGAGATATCCCGGGACTGATGGAATTGTAAATTTTAAAAGTAATTTAAGATAAAATTTTTGCATTATTTAGTCAATGATTTCTTTGTTTGATTTCAGGATATTCTTTATGATGAAGTTAGCAGATCCGGACTTATACAGATGAGGTTACGCTGGATTCACAGGAACCTTAATAAGACAGAAGTTGATAGACCTCGGCGCAAAAAGCTTGAAGATTCAGGAGGTCCAAAACCAAAGGTAGAAAAAATTGGAGAGGACGTTTGCCCCGATTTGAACACTATTGCTACACTAAATTCAAGTACAGATGAAAGCGAAATTCTCCGCTTAATGAAAGAAACTTTGGAGCACAGAAATCAAATCCGAAGATCTTCCGAGCAATCCGTACTACGCGTGTACTCAAAATTTGCTGAGTCTGGAGTTTTGGTTAGAAATTCTTGCCTTTTTTATAAAATTAAAAGATAGATTATTTCAATTTTGAATTTTTCTTTATCAGATTAATTTTGAATTTTCTCTACTTTTTCCTGGGATTAATGAAAACTTTGTAGAAATTTGGCCTGGATTCGCCGATCGCCTTTTGCTTAATTGCAGAAGTATAAGCAACTCCCCAGCTTTAGTTACTTTTTTAACAAATGATGCAGGTAATTAAACTATTCTATAAATAATTAATTTAGAAGCATATTTGGAATAATTTAAATTATATTTTATTTCAGCAAAATGGGACAAAAGAATTGCTGCTCTGTTCGTTCTTTTGCATCTTATTCCCCCGTCTGCGCAGGGGAGAGGGAAGGGAGGTCGATGCAAAACTGACGACGCCAAATTAAGACTCGTGAGTTACTACAAGGTGAGAAATTAAAATAATCAATTGTATCCTGCTGGCAAGTTTTCGAATTATAATATATTGTGTCTGAAATAAACATGTGTATTGTTTGTTTAATTTGAAGACTGGGACTCCTCTTCAATCTATTATTGACACATGGAATTCTGAAATATCCCAGCCAACACTGTAATTGGCGACGACCGGATCAATCTTTCTTCATTCTTCATTCTGTGCAACAGGATTATCCTCCCCCTAGATGCAAAATCTCCAACTGAAGCAATCGACTCGCTTTTCAAGTCCCATTACGTCATCGGAGTTGAATTCGACCGGAATTTAACGGGGTTGTGGAAGTTTGTACAAGTGAATCTATTTCAGATTGATACGTCGACTCCTCTTTCAAGAAAAGTTAAACAAGTGTTTCAGCAGATTTCAACTTATCTGCAGCCAACAAGCTCATTAGTTGAAAATGTTTAAATGCAGTGAATGTAGTAGGATATTTTGTAAGGTAGACGAAATTAAGGGTCACCTAAAATATATTCACAATTACGGACATTCAAATTTTCCAAATATGAAATGTCCAAGTCAGGGTTGCATTATTCCGACTAGTTCTTGGAGTGGGTTCATTAGACACATTAAAACGCATGAAATAATTATTAACAGTAGAAATAATGATGAGAATTTTGTCAACGTTGGCCATCCGCCACAGGCTTTTCCCGAATCCAATTTTATTTGTAGATGCTCAAGTTGTTCTGACAAAGATTGCGATGAGAACAATTTAGATAAAAATATCGAGGATGAAAATTTGTCAGTAAATTTAGGAATTAGTCTTATGGCAGATATTTTATCAACATTTTGTTCCTCACTATTAGCGACAGGTGTTACAAATTCAACTCTTGACTTTGTGGTTAAAGAATTCGAAAATTCCTTTATCCAGATGTCAGAGTTAATTTTAAAAATTGGGAAACCGTTTTGTCTAGAAAATTTCCAAGAATTTAAATGTCAGACATTGTCACTTTCAAGAGCAGTTCAGTTAAAACATGTTATCAAAGACAAAAAAAACTTTGAAAAGAATGACAAAATGATTTTACCGAAGGAATATGCTTTAGGTAGTAGAATAGAGCAAAGAGTACGGGATCAAAAGCGTCAGCAAGTAATTGTATCAGATACATTAATGTACGTCCCTATTCTCAGTACTTTAGAAAAAATTGTTACGTCTCATTCTTATTACAAATG